CATCCCTGGAAGTGTCCAAGGCCAGGCTGGACAGGGCTTGGAGCAACCTGGGATAGTGGGAGGTGTCCCTGCCCACAGCAGGGGGGTGGAACAAGATGAGCTTTAAGGTTCTTTTCAACCCAAACCCTTCTGGGATTCTGTGAATTTAGCAGAGACTCTCCCAGTGCCTCTGGCACAGCCCAGCCAAGGTCACCTTCCTGCACAGCTCTAAAGACTCGTCAGGAGCAGCACAAGCACAGAACTCCTCACCCACTTCCCCCCTTGATGCCCCAAGAGACAGCAGGGCGGGGGTGTTGGTTCAGTCTTTGATAGGCAGGATGAAAAGATGCCTGGACTTGCAAGTCCAGACTGGCAAATATCCTTTCCTGTAGCACTGATTAACTCACCCCCAGAATCCCTGTTTAGGCTCTCCCGTTATGTAATGACCACATAAACAAATTAACATTATAAATTCATTTGCACATGAAAGTGAGTCTCGAGAGAAACGGTCACATTTGAAAACCAATTTCAAAGCATGGACACTGCCAGGCATCTCACCATGACTCATTACAGAATCCATCCGTGGCCTCAGTCCCTCCAACATTTACTGTCAGATGGCAACAGTTTTCATTTAATAGGCTAAATACTGAATATTCAACCTGCCCTCTAAACAACAGGGTTTGTTTTTCTCTTGCTGCACAGAGCTCCTGTTAATGGCTCTCTACACAATTCTGAGACCAAGGCATGATACCAGTGTGTGGACAAGCAAAGGGACCAATAATTGTATTTTCAAGAACTATTTTATAACGTGCTTCAGGATTTGGCTGCTCATTAACAAAGAGAGGGACTTTCCCAAACATTCTAGGTTAGCCTATCTGTAGCAATGATGACTCCAAAAATGTCACCCTTGGTCCTTAGCTCTTAGAATCCCAGAATGGTTTGAGTTGGAAGGGACCTTAAAGATCATCCAGTTCCACCCCCCTGCACCTCCCACTAGACCAGGTTGCTCAAACCCCATCCAACCTGGCCTTGAACAATTCCAGGGATGGGGATTAACATCCTTATTGTTTCTGCCCCCCCAAAATAAGCTGTTCAGGGCTCAGTGTCTTCTCAACAGCCAGACTTTGGTGTCCCTGTTCTCCCACAGACATTCTGTGTGGCCCGGAGTACAGCACCTTCAGGCCCAATGTGTACTCACACACTTAAATCACAGTAAATAGGATTTCAAAAGCCTTCATCTACATCTAAATTCCTTCACAAATCTTGCTTTTGATCTCTCCAGCTACATCCTTATTGTCAAATCAGCTCAAAGCTGTACCAGTGCTAGAAATCCACCCTGCTGGCTGTTCTTAAGATTTCAGTCCTGCCCCGCTCTGGCTCTGTGTCCGTAGGAGTTCTCCCACCAGGCACAGGGAGGAGGGTGGAGTGGCTGGCTCACACTCCACATCTGCCTCTCCAGCCCATGTGGATGAGGGCACAGAGCCAGTGCCTCCAAGACTGTAGGACTAAACTGCAGGAAGGAGGCAACGGCAGCACTGAAGATGCAGAACTCTCTGTGAAATGAGAACAGCTCCACTTCACCTCCCAGCCAGGGAACGGGGGCTTATGTTGGACTCTACTTCGAGACCCTGGAATGGGGCCATCCAAGGAAAAAAAAAGGCTGTTGAGTGGATGCCTCTATTCATCTATTCTCCCAGTAATACAGCTATACAATTTGTTTTGTACTCCTGAACCAAACAATTGCACATTCACAGTTGGAGGTGGGGTATAAATATTGTCTGTAGCTGATCCCTTGATCCCACCGGCCTCGCTGAATTAATCACACTCGTGGATCAATCCAGGATTTGTTGCTGGCAGAGCAGATGGCCAGGCAGACTGCAGTTGTGAGCAAGGCGGGCACGTTCTCCTTCCACTTATCCAGCAGCATTTTCCAACGGCGGATATTTAAAATTAGACATCATTTTGAAGAAATGCTAAATCTCTCTTGTTCTCTTCAGCTCCATAAGGGCACAAAACCCTAATTTTTGCTCTGCTTCCATCCACTAAGGCCTCGGTGAAAGTGTGGGATGGCTGGTGCCCCCTTCCCTTTCAGCTGAATGTTTTCTGCCCCAGTTTCTTCTGCTGTCTTCTCATTTCCCGCAGAAGAGAGGTGACAACACCAGCTGCTGTTTGGCACAGGGATTTCAAGGGTGCATTATATTAATTGCTGAGCCGAGGGCTGCAGGAAAGGGAAGAGAAGCAGCATTCATGGGACTCATGGCACAGAACAGCAGGAACGGGGGTAACAGTGTGTGCCTTTCAAACAGCCCGGATGGGACTTCCCCGTCGCAGGAGTAAATTTGCCGTGAAAGGCAGACGTGCTGTTTTCCCAGTGTTCACATCTGTTCTGCATTCAGAGTCCTTCTGGATGATAATTGCTCCTGTCTCCTCTCTGTCCCCTGCTGAGGAGCTGCCAGAGCTGTCGGGGGAGTTTTGGCCGAGCTCCATCACGTTCCGTAGGAGACGTCTCACGGAGCTCCAGAGGTGAACAGGGTTAACCCAGAGAGTGTTTGCAGTCCCTGGAAGAATGAAACACGACAGGAACAGTCCAGAGGAGACGATCCCCCCATGGTGGAGCACAATGGACCGCACTGATTAACCACATCCATGCAAATGTGTTGGAATCATCTCCTTCACTTCATGGCGCGTTAGAGAAAAGACGTGGAGGTCAGTCAGAGCAAGGCGAGGCTGCACGGGAATGCTGCACATCCCTGCAGCACACAGCCTGTTGTCCATGAGGATCACATCATTTTAGTGGCACGCAGAGGAACAGCAGGTATGGAAAAAGCCTACAAGACCTTGTTGGGGAATAGTGGCCACCTTTACAGAATCACAGAATATCACAGAATGGGCAAGGCTGGAAGTGATTCATCTGGTCCCACCTCCCTCCTCAAGCAGGGTCATCCCAGAGCATGTTGCACAGGATTGTGTCCAGACATATCTGGAATATCTCCAGTAAGGGAGACTCCAAACCTCTCTGGGCAATCTGTTCCAGTGCTTGGTCACTGCACAGGAAAGAAGGTTCTCCCTCACATTCAGGTGGAACTTCCTGGGCATCAGTTTATGCCCATTGCCTCGTGTCCCGTCGCTCAGCACCACGGAGCAGAGCCTGATCCATCCTCTGACACCTCCCTGCAGATACTGATGGACACTGATTTACCCTGCAGAGAATGTTACCAAACCGAGTTACACGTGCAGAAGCCAAATCCAAGATCTCCAGCACTGAGATCCATAAAACTCCCCTTGCAGGCTTTCCCACAATGAAGCTGAGCATGATTTTTTTTTAGACCTTGGGGAGCATCACCAAAACTGCCCCATCTGTGCAAACCAACAAGTGCAGGGGATGACCCACCTGCCTCATGTCCTGCATTTTGTTCCAAGGGTGAGGCCCACCTTAAACCCTCACCCCTGCCATACAGGAGTCCAGCTGAACAAATCCCAAGCACTCTTACACACCTCGGGTGTGTCCCACAGTCCCACCAGCTCTTCCCCTCGAGGCTGCTCCATATCCAGCTGTTCTGCCTCTCAGTGGTACCACTTCAATATCTCATCTGCTTGTGCTTGACTTCCCCACCCTCACATGCACCCAACAACGTGGCAGGACCTTCACCTGTGAGGAGCAGTGAGGAGCTTTGGGGACCCAGGTTGTACTTCAATCAATTCCATGGCCTGTGGAGGACATGGAACAGTAGGCACGGGCAGCTCACAGACTCCAGCACACAGGGGCAGCAACTGCCCCAGCTCCCATCCCTGGAAGTGTTCAAGGCCAGGCAGGATGGGGTTTGGAGCAACCTGGGATAGCGGAAGGTGTCCCTGCCCATGGCAGGGGGTGGAATGAGATCATTTTTAAGGTCCCTTCCAACTGAAACCGTTCTATGATTCCTCTTCCAGCTCCTTCAAAACCAATTACATCTCTTCTCCCACGTTATCCCCAGAGATCCTGCCAAGCCAAGGGATCTCCTTAGAAAACTCCTAGCCCTGAGCAAGGCGTCTCTTCACACACCTGGGACAGAAAGCCCCAGCTGTGGGATACTGTGGGTACACAGCAGGTTTGTTCTCCGGCCTGGAGGTTTCATGTTTTATTTCCCATTCCCTTCTCTGGTTTGGACTTTAATAACCACTCAGCTGCCCTTTTCATCTGAACTATTACAAGTCAATGACCTTTCCTGACTGGAAGCAGCTGCCCTTCACTTCATATCCCTGGATGTCCTGGCAATTCTTTTTATTCTGCTGTTGTTTTTACTGTCTGTGATCTGGCAGTACCAATAAGCCATCGCCTCATTTCCTAGTGAAGCACTCAGTGATCACACAGGTGACCTTCCCCTCCCATGGGAGAGCTATTTATTCCTTTTTTCCTCTCCTTTACTCAGCTGTTCTGCAGCACCATTCTTCTCCCACAGCAGTTTTTTTTTTCCCAGAGATTTTGTCAACAGATTTTGTTGTGACTTTGGTGACTGAGATGCCATCCAGGAGCCAGATGTGCTGCAGCAGCTGTGCATTTTCTCCCTCACAGAGCTCTCTCACCTGGGAGCAAAGGGGTTTATTTCTATCATGTCTAATTTGTGGCCTGTTAGTGCTGTTCTTCAGTGTTGGCACAAACAGTGCATGTCAGGTACCAAGGCTGAATTCCTTGGATTACCTTGGGCAGTTTTTTCAACAATACAGGAAAAAGATCTCCAAAGATCATGAAAAGAAGAAACAGCAATAATGAGGAAAAGGAGTGCTTTGATCAAATTATTCCAGTGGTTTCTTGGGCAGGAAAGAGATGAGAAGGAAAAATACAGCTAAATTCCTCTGTCTTCTTCAAGCCTTGGGGTCCCCTTGACAGCTGCTCTGACATTGTTCAGTTGGCTCCTGCACTCTGTATTTTATTCCACAGCTCCAGGAAGCTGAGAAACAGAGGGAGATCATACCAGCATTCCCAGATTTTCCCTGTCAGACACCCACATACCACCCTGCAATTAAAAGAGGGCAACACAACCTCTTAATGAAACATTTTATTTAAACCAATACAAGCACCATGCTTAGCAAAAAAAAGATTTGGTTTAAAGTACACATGCAGTGTGAACTAGCAGAGACTAAACAGCATATGGAAGTTGTACTGGTTACTGGTATTTTCATGGAACTGCCAAATTCTCAGACCTGGCCCTGAACCTCACAGACCTTTTACAACAGTGATTTGGGACCATGGAACAAACGCAAGAGTTTCACTGAGCCCCCTCTATGTCCCACCATGGCTCTGTTTCACAGTCATTACGTGTGGTACCGAAAAAATGTTGCATGATATTTATTTCTGGAGCGCACTGAAGTGAGGAATTGAGCTCTCTTGCTTCTGCCTGTTTGAGTCAGGCCCCTGTCACCAGTTTAACATCGTTTCTGGACCAGCTATTTTACAGTTAAAGATACAAAAATGGAATCCTGCTACAAGCGCACAAGATGCTCCTTTGGAGAAGTGATAAAGGTGTCAACACCTCCATTATTGCCTCCTTTGATAGATCAGAATAGCATTCATGATACTAGAAATACACTTAAGCCATCAAAATACCAGCATTTACATTTTCTTGTTAAAAATATCCAAACACTACAAGTCCATTTCATGGGCTGACATGCAAACTCATGCTTTAATTCAGCTTACCATCAATGAACTGGACTACAGGAGCTGTGTCCCAGCCATCTAGTCAATATTTAAAGCAAACCTGATTAATTGTGGCAGAAGTCTCCCTTGGAGAGACCTTTAACTCCAGGCCAAGGATTTTAAGGCCGACTTACTAACTCCTGAAAAATAGGAGCTCCCAATGGAAAATGCTGACTCTCAGACCTTTAGCTACAAAGGCTCCCACAGGTTAATTTGTGTTGTCCTTTAGATCCCTCTTCAGAGGTCTGAAAATGTAAGAGAATTGTGTGATTACATTGGAACATACTGGCCTGGACACGGACTCATCTGCCTCCCACTGAGTTTGGGGGGGCAGCAGCACAGAACACACAGTTCTACAGATAAGGTGGGAAAAGGATGTTGGGAAAACAAGTAGTATTGGCGCAGGAAAGATCTGAACATAATTAATGTCTTTGCTTAGTCAGGTATCAGCACTGCCTGTATCTCAAGAGCCCAGGACAATTAGCAGCAGACAGTTGTGTCAAAACACTGCATGAAAACCAAGGAGACCAGGAACAAGCCTGGAACAGCAAACACCCTCTGAGTACCCACAGCTGCTTCCACAGCTCAGAGAGGGGAGGGGGTACAGCTGCCAGGCAAGGCTGGCTGGAGAGTAATACTGGTGGGCTGAGCAGCACCAACATCACCTCTCAGGAGAAACTGGGCTTTAATTCTCACAGGGTCTGTTTGCAGAGAGCAAACAGAGGGGCAGCACCCAAGGCAGAAAGGGCTTAAGTGGAGGCACGAGAACATGTGAAGTGGAAGAACTCTGCTGAAGATGCAGCTGGAAGGAGCAGCGTTTTCTTGGCCGAAGGTGGAGCAATCCAGAGATGAGAAGTCAAACTGAACCATCTGACTGCAGCAGCTCCTCCCTTTCCTCCTGAGACAGGCCTCTGGTACAGTTATTTTTGTGCAGACCTGTGCAGGCAGCAGTTGGCTGCTGGCAGCCCACCAGTGTACAAAGTACAACAAAGACGATTAATCCAGTTTTCCCCACTGCAAATCAAGCTGAACGTTCCAAGCATCAGCTCCCCTCTCGCCCACGCTGTACTTTGACATGCCTCACCTCCAGCTCAATCCCAAAAACACCCAAGCTTCCTGCTGTTTCCAGGCTGATGCTTGGAATGACGCTATCCTTTGAGCCAAAGTCTTGTTTATACAATGTTTGTCACAAAAAGACATTGTTTTTATTGATTTGCAGTACAGAATGATCAAGCAACAGTTTCATAATCAACGTCTTTTCATCCAGGGAAATGAAATTGTTTTTCCAGTTCGCTACGTTAACACAGGAATTTAATTACAAGCATTTCTTTCCCGCACCGAAAGATCGATTTAATTGGATCATTCCAACACGTATTTTGAAAAGCTCCTCTCAAAGTCAGATTTATATACAAATAAATGAGCAATAACATCAAACTAAGAAGAGATTTACCAACACTGAGGACCTTTGCAAATGGATTCCTTGTGATCTTGCAGGAATTAGTGTTTTAACACTAACACAGGGCACGTTCACAAACGAAAAAATAACCCTTCTTTCAGCAAAGGTTTCACAGCATGAAATACTGGCCTCCAAATTTAACACTGCATTCCTTCCCAGCGAGCAGATTGGTTGGGGCAGCTGTATTTTAAGGTATGTTATCAACAGGAAGCCGCTCTTACGCAGATACTTGTTCAGCAGCACAACAAACACTCACAGCGAGAGACTGTCCCGTGAGTGCTCCTTCTGCCGCGGCACGGGCTGAGCGTGTCCCACCTCAGACAACTACTCTAGTCAATATAAAACAGACCTGTAAAAAGACTGGTCACTTATAAAAGTTAAATACTATTTTCACATTAGAAGATCTGCTGTTTCAAAGAGATGAGAATCAAATGATCACTTTATGCAAAAGCTTCATCTGGAATGTAATTTTGACCAACGAGCGGTTAAGAAAGTTAAGAGATTTGTAATTAAAGTACTCAAAAGCTACGTGTGGCCAACTTTCATAACAAAAGAGATATAAATCATTCATTATCATGAAAAGCTTTAACCTCTTGACTCCTACAAATGGAGCAGGTGATTGGAATTTCAAAGAAAAAGAGGTTGGCTTTTTGTTTTAACAGATGTCAGCTGCAGCACGAGGCACTAGGAACAAACGTTACTCGGATTTTTTTAACAAAGTTTTTACCAAATTTGTAAGAAGTGGCAGTGTAAAATTCTCAAGTCCTTTTAAAGCTAACAAATGAAAGGCACACAGTATCACCAGGTGTTCAGATAACAGGAAATGAGCAGAGGTAAACTTCTCAACAGTGTCAGAAGTTAGAGATGCAAGAAGAAATCTGGTATGAGAAGAACCAGAGTTATAGTTCAGCCCTTAGTTATCAGCTAGTTCCTGTGAGACTGTATTAGCAGGAGAACTGGACAGTCAAAGCTTTGCCCTGAAATTTAGAAAGATTGACTCAGGCAACTGAGGAATTACTGGAATGACAAAAATTAGTTCCAAGAATTTGAGACAGTTCACATGGACTCAATGGAAAGATAAAGGGATGGATTTGCTGTACAAGGATTTTGTCTTTTTAATACCAAATGATTCCAGGGAGTAGTTTTCAAAACTGAGAAGACATTAAGTCAAAAAAACCTGACAAGTAAGTGACAGTACACAAATTCTGCATAAAAATGGCTAACGTGTGTCATCAGGATGCAGTTGTAGCTCAGAAAAAGTTAGCGTCAGCTTCCAAGTGATGTTTGTACATAGTTATAAATCCAGAACCGAACTATTTTAGTCACAGAAATATTAGTCACAAGAGTGCAAAAGGAGTCCCTGCAGAGGAGTATTCCCTTTTAGCAGGTACAAATAAGGAAACACCTGCAAAGATTTGTTACTTCAAGGAGACAGACCTGCTATTCTTTGCACAAACTCTGCACAAGAGAGATACTGCAGGAGACAGCTGTGAATACAGTGCATTGCTGGGATGTAAGTATTCATGTCTGGTTCCAGTGTCACCAGGATGGTACATAAATACTTAGTACAGAGGTTTTCCTTAGTGGAAGAAGCCCAGTTTCTCACGCAGCCACTCTTCAGTGAGGTCTTCTGTATTTCTGATTTCGAACACCTAAACAAAAGGGCACGGCATCAATTCCCGAGGGAGTGGCACTGGGAAGGGATAACAACACAATGCAAGCAGCACCTTCCACACACGTTGTCTGAGCTGCAATAAACCAGGAACAAACCCAAAATGTTCAGGTGCTTTCTTGAAAGGATCAGATCGGTGGAAAATACACAAGAGTACGTGGTGATGAACAAAAGTAACCTGAACAAGAATCTCCTAATTTCTATTCCTAGGCTTCATTCTTCTCCTTAGAGAACAGCACACACACTACATTCTAAAATGACCCTGGAATGGCACCATCTCACATGCATTATCTCAGCAGGATTGTGTACTTGAAGAACACAATTTCATCTCTGGGCTTTATTCAAACCCAAAGTTCAGGAATTTTGCTCAGCCCAAACCACAATTACTCTTTCTTTGAACTGAAATAAATCCATAATATCCAGTTTTTACCTGTAAGAAACAAGCCGGGGGTACCTCAAAATAGAACACTTGTACAAAAAACAAACCCAAAAATCACAGAATCCCAGAATGGTTTGAATGGTTTGGGTTGGAAGGGACCTTAAAGACCATCTCATTCTACCTCCTGCCATGGGCAGGGACACCTTCCACTATCCCAGGTTGCTCCAAGCTCCCATCCAACCTGGCCTTGGACACTTCCAGGGACAGGGCAGCCACAGCTTCTTTGGGCAACCCCCCAAAACAACCTAAAAACCACCAACCCAAAGCTTTGCGAAGTCTTAAACAAACCTTGAACACAGCCTTGAAGCAGAACATAAGATCAAAGGCACCAATATACTCTTTTTACATTCCATGTGGGCAAGTAACTGGTTGTGGTTTGGGTTTTTAATACCCTTGAGGAGAAGCCACGTTAATTGTGCAGCGCTCACTGGAGCCCATGAGATGCCCACAGATGGATCATCTCGTCCAAAGAGTCAGGGAAGTAAATTGTACAAATTCACAGACCTTCAAATTGGAGGAACCCCAACATTCAGCATTATAAGAACAGAACAGCTTAACAGAAGCCAAGCTAATATGCAAGTCACTGAAAAAATGAGAGGACTCAGTTGAGTCACATGCAGAAATCACACCAGGAGGAAGTCACAGCATGAGCCAAAATGAAACACAGCTCAGCAAGTGGCAAGAATAAAGCACATTTAAAGAGCAAGCAAGCAACCCCAACTGGAGACAGGCTGTCTTCTCCAGCTTCAGAAGGAAGATGATCATGGACCTCTATATCCGCTCCTGGGCTTGCATTCAAAAGACTTTCAGACTGAATTTCTCCTACTTCAGAGGTGAAAGTACCTCCAACTGAGCTACTCCCCAGGCTTTCACCTTCTTCCTACCAGCCCTTCTCTCTCACTTGAAACTGTCTTCTCTTCCTCCTTTCTATCACAGTTCTCAGGCCTCCAAGATGCAGCTTCTACAGGGCTAAAAAAAGATTTCTTGGGGCTGAGCTGATTGTTTCCACCATCTTATCTTCTGCTTCCTTCCCATTTACTCCTGTCAACTTGAGGTCTACTTTAAAACAGAGAGGTCTCTTCTTACAAGGTACAGCTGGAGGAGGTAGAAGTTCGAGGCCAGGTTGGACAGGGCTTGGAGCAACCTGGGCTAGTGGAAGGTGTTGGAAGGGGCAGGGGTTGGAATGAGATGGGCTTTAGGGTCCCCTCCATCCAAACCAGTCTGTGATTCATAGTTCTCTCTCTGGCCCAGCAGACATTTTTACTGGGATGTTAAAGGACTCAGCAGGATAAGGAACACCTAAAGGGAACGCTGTTGTTGGGGACTGGTGAAGTCATTTCACATGCTATGAAGTGACTACTGACTCTATTAAGCTTTCCTGCTTGAAGCTAAAAATTTAAGGATTCTAGGTGCCAATTAAGCAGAGATTTCAAAGATCTCCAAAATGAAAAACAGGTGACATTTCTTTTCTAGGATATACATACACCTAGGCCTGGTGAATGCAGTGATTTCTTCTGGTCTCAGTACTGGAGGAATCACGCACAGGAAGAAATTGTTCAGCACTTGGCACATGTTCCTTGTTCTGCAGGCTGTGCTGCAAGCACACAGCTCCAGAAAGCAGCTAAACTGATCTGCTTCACAACACACTAAGCCTTCAGTCTATTCTTCCCATCAATAAATTCATTCCCAAAAGTACAGCCAGCCAGTCCACCAGTAGGTATATTCATTTTTGAGAACACTGTTCTTCCTGTACCCTAAACCACCAGAAATCCCCCCCACTCCTCCTCCACTCTTCCTAAACCAGATTCTGTTTGCTGTAACCACAAAGTCTCACAAAACTCTTTTTGCCATGGGTTCAAGCAAGACTCAAAACATCCTCTGCAATCTGGACAGTTATTTCAGCAGTCATTTATACCTTAGTGAGTTCAGCTGTCTGTACAAGCTTATTCTTGCTGCCAGCATACATCATCTGCTGCTCAGGCTTACATCCTGTAGTTATGGGGGGGAAAAAGAGGGTTGGATTAGTTATTTTGACTGCCAACACTTCAAAAATAAGATTTTTTTTTTAAATTATTAACTGAAAACTGAAGACATTCATAGGAAGATTCTCAGGTAACTACAGAAGAATATGCTCATTAGTTGCTAAAGTGTTTTACATATCTAGTTCCTCCAGCTCTGAGTCATGAGGGGTAAAACAATGCAATCAGTTTATCTTCTTCCAGAGGATAACAAGGATAATCCAGTAATACCAGCAAGCTACACTATCACAATACAGAACACAGATGGAAGTCCCAGGAGCAACTCAGCTCTGTGAGCCCAGACCAAGTCACAGGTTATTTGGTTTGTATTAAAATCCCACGTTTCCCTGCCCAGGTAAGTTCATGTTGCAGGTTGCTGTGACACAAGCAGAGGATGCAACTGCTCAGTATAAACTTGGGATGATCCAGGATTACAGCCTGTTTCTCCTGGAACTTTCTCCAGCACTTTCACCTGCCCAGATGTGGGTTAGGGAGCTCTCCTTTCCTCCTTTTCACCCACAGCTGTGACAGCCCTTCAGCCCATCACGTCACAGCCCTGTTTGGAGGCATCCTCTGCTGCTGCCCATTGCATCCAGGCCCCAGGAAACCCTCCTCTCAAATCCCATCCTCACCCTCTTACAGAGTCCTGTTCCTTTCGTGGACAGAATGAGAGGAATAGGACTCTAAGGTCCTCAGAAATAAATGGGTTCCCATGTCCTTCTGAGATGAGGAATTTCTTCCCCTCCCAGTCACTAATATCCATGAATAGCAAGACAGACAGGTGAACAGAATCCCTTGGGAACAGAGGTGGTACCTTCCAGCCCCCTCTTCACTCATTTCCTGAGCCTTGTATGGTCATATTTTGAGGATTCCCCAAGATTTGAGGAGAGGGTGACAGGAAACAGGTTAAATTAGGTTAAAACCTATATGAGTAGATGCCGAGTGCTCCAGGCCTGTCCTTTACAGGAGGGTGTTGCTGAGCACAAGCTCATTTAGGAAGACACACCTTTTGGCCCTCTAAGCAGGAAACCAACACTCCTGGCTCAGCCTTTGGAAACGGAAAAGAGAGAATCTCTTCTATCATACATCCCAAGTGCCCCAAATGTGAACCACAAAGGCAGGAAAACCTCCTTGAGAGCATTAAGCACTCAATTTTATCTTCCATGGCAAATAATATTCCCAAATTTACATCACACAGTAGCTACCAATCACAGTGTTCACTCACCAACTGGACTGGAGAAGATAAAGCACAATGGATAAGAAACTCTTCCATCTTCATGCTGGTACTTGTAACTATACACAATAAATGTTTTTTCTGCGGTTAAAGAAACTAAGAAACTGATTATTAGGATATAATTCTTGATCTTGATGCAGGCACAAGTCACTGTTGCATTTCAGATGATGTTTTAATTTAATAATAATAAAAGTCTCACTGTTTTGTTTTCACTTCCACATGTGACTTTCAGAACTGACCCTGCCTTGGTGTGAGGGCTTAGTAATGTTTCACATCAGGGCTAAAAAACACCCTCACATTGCAAATATTCCTCTCCCAGCTTGGTAAAAAGACTTCCCACACACCCATCAGTGTGGTTTTGCCTTAATGAAAGCCCAATTCTTTCTTTGCTGACCAAGCAGTTTGTTGTTTCAGGTGTTTTCCTGAATTTCAACTGCAGTTTTAGCCAGGACTTCTGTTTTACAGCCTCCCACTGCACTGTGGGCATGAAAGGAAAGATTCAGCACAGCACATGGAGTAGTGCCAGCCAGCTCTGGAGGCTGATGGAGGCAGGTACTTTCTTCACTTACAACTTCAGTACTCCTTTTATTTCATTAGTTAAAGAACAATTTACTCGTCCCTCTGTTGTTCCTTATTTTTTTTTCCAAAACAAGGATTCCCCCCCAGATCACGTGCCCACAGCAATCCCAGAATCAGTAACTGCAGCAAAACAACAGCCACATCCTAAGAAAGAACCAAAACACATCCTGACTTACACAGACACACTTCTATATTTAGAAGTAGCCACAAACTGGTACATTTTACTCCCTTCTTTACATTACCAGCAGCGTGGCTTGGCTTTACTTCCCCAAACATTATATAGTCTAAGAGGGAATAAAATCTCAGGAAAGGCTTGAATGAGTCATTGTTTCAACGAGTGGGACAACAGTTCAGTGCACCCTGAGAATGGATCCCTGGATTATCTCACAAATAAAGCATCAGTAAAATCCCAGTACAGCAAGTACTGGCCTAAAAAGGTGAAGTCCAACGTTTTGAACAGCTTCCAGCAGTGAGTAAGACCAAATGGCAGCAGCATGAGAAGGATATCGAGGTTGTCTCTCGGGCAGCTCATCTTTTAGCTCATCAGGAGAAATACCCTGGTGACATTAAACACAAGCAACATTTGAGCAAATGGTCCTGCACTGGAAGGTTAAAGCAGAGCAATGGACAGTGAAACACCTGGGAGACAGGGAGAGGTACATCTACAGGTGAACTGGTAACGACCTCCCGAATTACTAGAGCAGTCTGGGAAGACTTGTGTGCCAACAGTCCTATGACTAAACACAGAATTAACGTTAGCATGAATAATCACCCCTATTTTAGGCATAATGAGTTTAGCAAACACTTTTGGCTCTAGTTGGCTACGTTGGCAGCTACACTTTGCTAACTCTAGTGCTAAACAGAAGTGAGCAAGCACACACCAAAAAGTATGTTAAAATCAGCTACATAAATGAAAAATTTGAGAAATTCAGTCCTTCCTCTTTCAGCAATCAAAAAGGAGCCCCCATTCTATTTAAATTTTATGTTAACTTCTACATTCTAGGGAACAAGAGCTATGGTTAATGCTCAAATCCCTGGGAAGGATTTTATTTTGCCCTATGGACCATTAAGAAACACCACACACTGGGCTGACCTTATTATGCCACCCATCAAATTTAGAGTCTGCAGGGGATTAGCAATCCTGCTTCTAATTGATGGCAGACCAGCTCAGAGGCAAATGTGCAGATCTACGTGGAAACACAGCAGAAATCTCTTCAAAAAGACAGCAGGTGCCAAAGATGCTTTTTACATAGTTAAAACAGCTTTAAAAATAACTTTTTTTTTTTTTTGGTGTGCAGTTAATTAGTCAACTCAATTGCTTCTGCATAGTTTCACTATTAATGGTGCTGTGCTTTACATGCAGAGTGACCATGCATTTAAATAAGCTCATGACCCAAATTAGATTAAGAGTTTGATAACAATTTGAAACTAAGGCAGTACCTTAGAGACAACAATATATTGCAGGCTGAAGATACTCTTATTTACAATTCATTTAACAAACCTCATGCTCCTCATCCAGCACCACCAACTGCTTATCCTTGTCGATTTTCACTATAAATCAAAATAAAACACAGATCAATGTTGTTTCCAATCGATTTATACAATGGATGCAGAAGCTTTTTTGCATTCAACAATTACAGCCCTTGTGATTCTGCTTCGCTTCTTCAGCACATCCCATGACTTCCCAAAATCATTTCACAAACAGTGGTAGACTCTGAGCCATAATTACATATAAATACTCTGCTAAGAGCAGATGGAGTCTTGTCTCATAAGAACAGCACTGTTTTAGTGTTAAAATTACAGGCAGAATTGGAAGTACTGCGGCTCCTACAACAAACATCCCCTTGGCTCACATTTACCTGTCACAGCAGCAACGGTACAGGGGGAGGAAAAGAGGAGACAGGACTTTGTGGCAATTTTTGTCAGGCATGTTTGGAACTTACTTATAATGGCAGCATTGTTGGTCTCCTTGCGAAACCGGAATTTTCTCAGTTTCTCCACCAGGTCTTCGGCAACATCACAAACCACCAGAGATTCACTCTGCAAAAAGGAAATGGCACAGGGCAGGGAGAGATAAATCTCTCTGGAAAGTAAAACAGAAAAGAAATCCCTGTGTCACACAGATGTGTGCACAAACCCTGCTGAAGGGGGCCTGCATGCACCTGTACAGTGTTTCAGAACATCACATAAGCCAGTTCAAAAAAAACAAACAAACACATTAACAGAACATTTATCTTTTTAAATATCCCTCCTCAAAGCCATGCAGTTACCTATGAATATTTTATTAACTCTTTCTGAAGTGGGATTATTCTCATAGCTCTTAGAAGTAAACTTTACATTTCAGAAGTAGATTTTATACTTCTACACTTAGAAGTAAATTTTACACTTCATTTGACAAATCCTGAAAATAAGGGAGCCCCTTGGAGGGTCAGTAAATGAGGTAAAGTAATTTAAGCATTTAAAATAATAGAAGCCACTATTAGTATTTCAGAAGAAGATAGTGATTAAGGGTCACTGCTTACTAACTGAACTTTTGAGATTTACACACAAAGCATTTAAGACATTTTAACCAAAAAACATGCAGCCTTTTTTCCCCCCTTGTGCACACCAAGTTCTCAGCAGAGATGCCCAGATAACACATTAGTCATCACACTGAAGATGAGGAAGGAAATCATTATTTCACAAGCAGCCATGCAGGTTATCTTGCCTTGCACATGCAATTTCTGAACAGCACCAAGCCAACCACGGCCACTTCCTGAGCTACATTTTATACACACAACCTCTGTATCCAAGAGGTTCGTGCCAGCCAGATAAAGAAGAGTTATTTAATATCTGCAGCTTGTAAATGCCTAAGCTTGTAAACGCCTAAGGCATCAAGGCTTTTGGGCCAAAAGGACTGCATTTCAAGGCTTCCCTAAAACAAATTCTTCAGAGAAAAAAACCAATGCAATTAAATCACCTATTAAATGCTCTTTCATTGAGACAAATCACTGCTCATAAATCGGAATGAAGTCACTAGTTAAGCTCTCAGTTCTGTCTCCTTGTGTTCACCATTATTTGTGAGATTTCCCTCAAAAAGCAGAGGGGTGCCTCTGCTTCCCCACCTCCCGTATCCCTGTTTGCTGTCACTCCTGAAAAGATTTCCACCTTGACCAAATTCTGGCTCAAATTCTCTGCTTCCTTTGGACAGCTGGAGAGGAAACCAGGCTCTGCTGTGACAGCACAGCTCAGGCACAGCATGTGCAGCCTCCCTTATTTCGCCTCTTTTCCCTAAAGATTGTTCTTGGCTCCCTCTGTTCCAAACAGGTTGGACTCGACGATCTCGGAGGTCTTTTCCAACCTAACTCAGTGATTCTGGGAAATGTCACTAATATCCACTCTAATTCAGGAAAAAAAAATTATTAAAAATTATTTAAAAACCAGCAGAATTCAGGGCTGCATTTCACAACCCTGTTACATTTTGCATGAGATGTCACTAATACCAGCTCGGGAGGTCTCTATCAAAAAACCCAACAGGATTCAGAGCTGCATTTCAAAACTGGAGTTACACTTCGTATGAAATGCTCTTTCCTGAAGGAAGCCCGTTCCTCTGGGCTCAGCAGTTTCTCCCAGCAGACAAGCCTTGCCCTGGCTCCACCTGTGCAGCCGCACAAAAACAAATCCCCGAGGGAATTCGAAGGAAAACACTTGGTACCATCAGACTCGGGCTGTTTATCAGGGCTGAGCCGGCTGCCCAGCGCTTGGCTTAATAAAAACCGGAGGAAGCCAAGCCAGGATTGCTGCACAGACACGGGCACAGCTGCCAACACCACAGGGGGGACGATGCTGCTCCCCGCGTCCCCCCGGCTGGATCCCCCCCGGGACATCGCTCCCCTCACCATCTGACAACGAAACATGAATTTCCCACTTGTGAAAGGACTCTCTCCTTTCAGCAGAGACGCACACAGCAGAACGACCCAATATTTCATCCAATTTGCCTTGCAAATGCTCCTTCCACAGGGGGTTTACCCAAACCTTCACCTCCCCAAACCATCACTACAACCACTTCTTCCTTCTTCCATAACCAATCCTTTACCCGTTAACCAGCACTAAGGCAAACTACCCCACATTTATCCATCAGCCCTTGTTCCAACCACATCCACAGCTCAAACCCAGCACTCGGGCGAACGACTTCCATGAGCAACAATCAGATGTTCTTTAGCGAATTAGCTCAAAACACTACCAGGACGCGCAGCGACCAGCTCCGAACAAGCTACCAATCGCTTCACAGACACATAATCAGCTCCTCGGAGGTCACATCACGCGTTTCCCTGATTACTCCACCATTTATCCCACGAAACGCTTCCGAACCACTTAATCACGTATTACCTCGGCGAGCGGACCCCCCTCCCGGCCGGTTTCCCCCCGATCCTCCCCTCACAGTTCCCTCAGGGTCCCCCCGGCTTCCCCCCCGAGGGAGCGGCGCGCGCTCCCCCCCTCACCATCGTGGCGCGCGCACCAACCGCCGCCGCTCGCGCGCCGCCGCCGCCGCCTCCGAGCCGGGCTGCGCCCTCCGCCCCGGCACCGCGCATGCGCGCCGCAAACCCCGCCCCCTCATCCCCGCTCCCGCCAATCACCGCCGCTCGACCCCGCGGTGGGCGGGGCGACGCTACGCCCCTACGGGTGACGCGGAGGTTCAGGGCCACCGGGCGCGGCAGGGCGGGAAAAGGAGGGAACACGTGACCGCGCGGCGCCCCGCCCCGCCCCCGTTGCCATGGTGCCCCAAAATCCCGCCCCCCTCCCTCGCCTGTTGCCATGGCAACTCGCGCGCTCGCCCTCAGGCGCCATCTCGCCCTGAGGGGGGGGAGCGGGTCGGGCCAGCGCGGGCTCGGCTTCGCAGTCTTCAGTGTGCTTTTAAAAAGGTAAGAACGCACTGTTTAAAACCCTGAAATTGAAGTATATGAGGCAAATCAGAAGTTGTGCTGTTTGTGGTGCTTGTTGTGGAGAGTAATTCTGGAAGTGAAGCGGGCAAGTGGCAAACAGGAGCAGCCCCTACTTGGCAGACACTGCTCTTCCATAATAGCGTCTTCGTGTGGGGCTGTCTTGGTGCTGGAGCGAATATCTGGCCTTTTTCGTGCTGCTGGGAATTTAAACTGGTGTAACAGCAGAGAAAATGCCTTTTCAGTGATTCCATAATACTGAGAATTGAGAATATTGCTTTGCTCACTCAGAGAGAGTAAAAGTACAGGTGAAGGGTTTGCATCTCAATACAGCCTCTTGTGAACGATGTTAATGGCAAACACCAGATTTATAAGATAAATGTAGATTTTCACCAAGAGCTTCAGCAAACGCCACAGAAATGTGGGAATGCCAAACACATGTCAAAACTGAAGTTGTTGATTCCACAGAATCAGGGAATATCCTGAGCTGGAAGGGACCCACAGGGATCATCAAACCCAAATGCTGGCCCTGCACAGGAAAACTCCAAGAACCTCACTATGTGCCCGAGAGCCTTGTCCAAACACTGAACTCTGTCAGGTGTCACTGTGGTTAAGTTGGCCCCACACTCTGCGTCAAAACTGCTCCATGAAGGAAAAACCAGAGGGGTCATTGTCACGGGAGGTCCCTTCTGAGGGAAAGTTGTTCTTTATTCCTGCACGTGGGGTGTCCCGTCCAACTTGGGGCACCCTGAGTGCAGTTTTACACGAGATTCTTACACCTTGCTCTGGGGTTCAGGTATCACAGAAGCTGACCAATCGCTACTGGCACACAGGTACTACGAATTTGCAAAGCAGCTCAAATTCTGTGCCGGAACCACCCACCTGCTTCTTTCTTGATCTAAAGGAGCCTGGAGTTGGTGTTGCCACAGTTCCTTATCTATGATGCCACATAAGGGGAACGTTTCACAGAGGTCTTAGACAGGTTGGGATGCAGACATGGTAGTGTGGGATTGGAGAATTCAGAGGACATGAGGAACAGACATGATACAGGAAAAGTCGCGTAGACAAAGCTGAGCCATGTCCGCCCGCTGTGGAGGTGAAGGTGGCTGTGCTTGTGGGGCTCACACCTGATGACAGACAGTATCTATTAACACTGTCATTAGTGCATTTATCCCCAGCCATCCTAATCCTTCTTGCCTGTTGCTTCAATAAAACATCCTATTCCAGAATCTGGATGGGGCTGCGAAACTCCCTGGCGGCTCTTGCTGTGCAGGGACGAAGGAAGAGGCACTGCCCTCACCCAGTACCCGCAGGTGGTTGGGGATGAGCTGGATGAGGCCACATGGGAGCGCGTGGAGCAGCGTGACCATGAAATAATAGAATTTTCGATACTCAGAGATTCAAGGAGAAACAACAATAAAACCTCTACGCTGGACTTCCGGAGGGCAGATTTTGACCTCTTCAGAAGTCTAGTCCAGAGCATACCCTGGGAAACAAGCCTTGAAAACAAGGGGGTCCAGGAGGGATGGATGTGCTTCAAGCAGGAAGTTTTGAGTGCACAGGAACAGGCCGTACCGGTGTGCCGAAAGGCAAGCCGGCGGGGAAGACAACCAGCTTGGTTAAACAGGGAGATTCTGAAGGAAATCAGGGATAAAAAGAGAGTTTACCGACTGTGGAAGAAAGGGCTGGCTACTTACGAAGAATTCAGGAAGACAGCTAGATCATGCAGAAAGAAAATCAGGGATACAAAAGCGCAATTTGAAATTAAATTAGCCACTTCTGTTAGGGATAACAAAAAGTCCTTCTATAAATACATTAATAACAAAAGGAGGGGCAAAGAAAACCTCCATTCTTTGAGGGACTTGGAGGGAAACATAGTTAATAGAGATGAGGAGAAGGCTGAGGTACTTAACACCTACTTTGCCTCAGTTTTTACCAGTAGGACAGGTGGCCCTCAAGGCAACTGGCCTCTGGAGCTGGTAGACAGAGATAGGAAACCAAATAGTCCCCTTGTATTCCAGGAGGAAATAGTGACTTACTGAGTCATCTGGATCCTCACAAGTCTATGGGACCAGACGGGATCCATCCTAGGGTAATGAGGGAGCTGGCAGAAGAGCTTGCCAAGCCGCTCTCCATCATCTTCCAACAATCCTGGCTCACTGGGGAGGTCCCAGATGACTGGAAGTTGGCAAATATCACCCCAATCCATAAAAAAGGCTGCAAGGCTGACCCTGGTAACTACAGGCCTGTCAGCCTGACCTCGGTGCCTGGCAGAGTTATGGAGCAGATTATCCTGTGTGAAATCACACAGCAGCTACAGGATGGACAAGGGATCAGTCCCAGCCAACATGGGTTTAGGAGGGGCAGATCCTGTTTGACCAACCTGATCTCCTTTTACGATCAGGTGACCCACCTGGTGGATGAGGGGAAGGCTGTGGATGTGGTCTATCTGGACTTCAGCAAAGCCTTTGACACTGTCTCCCATAGCATACTCCTGGAAAAGCTGGCAGCCCACGGCTTGGACAGGGGCACCCTGTGCTGGGTCAGGAACTGGCTCGAGGGCCGGGCCCAGAGAGTGCTGGTGAATGGAGCTGCATCCAGCTGGCAGCCGGTCACCAGTGGTGTTCCCCAGGGGTCAGTGCTGGGCCCAGTCCTGTTTAATATCTTTATCGATGATTTAGATGAGGGGATTGAGTCCATCATCAGCAAATTTGCAGATGACACCAAGTTGGGAGGGAGTGTCGACCTGCCGGAAGGCAGGAGGGCTCTGCAGAGGGATCTGGATAGACTGGAGAGATGGGCTGACTCCAATGGGATGAAGTTCAACAAGGCCAAGTGCCGGGTCCTGCACTTTGGCCACAACAACCCCCTGCAGCGCTACAGGCTGGGCACAGAGTGGCTGGAGAGCAGCCAGGCGGAAAGGGACCTGGGGGTGCTGATCGACAGGAGGCTGAACATGAGCCAGCAGTGTGCCCAGGTGGCCAAGAAGGCCAATGGCATCCTGGCCTGCATCAGGAACAGTGTGGCCAGCAGGAGCAGGGAAGTGATCCTTCCCCTGTACTCTGCGTTGGTGAGGCCACACCTTGAGTATTGTGTTCAGCTCTGGGCCCCTCAGTTCAGGAAGGATATTGAGGTGCTGGAGCGGGTCCAGAGAAGAGCAACGAGGCTGGTGAAGGGACTTGAGCACAAGTCCTATGAGGAGAGGCTGAGGGAGCTGGGGTTGTTTAGTCTGGAGAAGAGAAGGCTTAGAGGCGACCTCATCACTCTCTTCAACTCCCTGAAGGGAGGTTATAGCCAGGCGGGGGTTGGTCTCTTCTCCCAGGCAACCAACAACAGGACAAGGGGACATGGGCTCAAGCTCTGCCAGGGGAGGTTTAGGTTAGATGTTAGGAAGAAATTCTTTACAGAGAGGGTTATCAGGCATTGAACGGCCTACTCAGAGAGGTGGTGGATTCACCATCCCTGGAGGTTTTTAAAAAGAGATGGCCCTTAGTGCCATGATATAGTAATTGGAGTTGGATCAGGGGTTGGACTTGATGATCTTGGAGGTCTTTTCCAACCTAATCTATTCTATGATTCTATGATAACTCATATTAAATATATAGATGTATGTATATATATAACATGCTCACACCTGATGTGGGCCCACGTGCATGTTAGCTGTATATATGTAACTGTAAATATGTTCACATTCTGTTGGAAAAATCGATCCCCCACCCAGGGCTGTGCAAACCAGGAGATGAATCTTCAGACGGAGCAGACAACCCCGGCCGAGAGCTGCGTGTCCTGGGGAGCCGTGCTCAGGAATGTCTTCAGCTGTGGCAGCTCTGGGCCCTTCCTCTAGTCCTTGCCTGTGCTTGTGGGGCTCACACCTCATGATAGACCCCATATACATTAACAGGGGTTGATTTATATAAGTTGTTAATATGTGGTTAGTGCGTTTATTCCCAACAAATATGTTAAGTGGTTAATATGTAGTTAGTACATTGATCTCCAACAAACCTGTAAGTAGTTAACATGCAGTTAGTGCATTTATCCCCAGCAATCCTGAACCTGCTTTCCTGTTGTTTCAATAAAACACACTGTTCCAGAATCTGGATTGTGCAACTTCTTAGTGTACTTGAACAGACCTGTACTGCTGAATTGGTTCTGATCAGAAATTAAGCCTGTTAGCATCCAGCTCATCTTACCTCAGATGACAAGCTGGAACTCAAGGGGATTCCATTTCTGCCCAGTTTCTATCCCTTTAATGCATCTCACACCCTGAACCCTCCCAGGGATCTGATGCCACCTCTCTGGGAGCGCTGGATACAGAGAAGAGGCTGCTCTGTCGGCAGTGGGAATTGCTGCTGCATCTTTCCTCTACAGCTGAAGGGGCCGTGGAAAGAGCCTGGAACCAGAGACTCCCAGTCCCACCTGGACACTGACTGCCCTCCCTTTCCCAGAGAGTCCATTCCCTCCGGGAGCTGCGCTCCCTACCGAGTTGCCCATAAATGTGGTGCCTGAGCAAACGCTGTGTCTGTGAGTGTCTGTGCATCCCATTGCCGGGATCACGGGCAGGGGGTGAGGCTGTGCAGCTGCTGCAGAGTCGGGGAGCATTTTGCAGCAGAACCACTGCTCTGGTGGGCTCTGGTTTCTCTGATGGTGGAACTAGGGCATCTGACATATATAAAAAAATTATATATATATATATATATATAAAATATAAGATATATACGAATATATAAGATATAGCTAATGAATTAGATAGAATATATATAATGAATACATAATATAATATATAATATGTATAATATATATTATACCATATAACTATTTATTGATATTTATACTTTTACCTCATTTTAATAATAATTATAAATAAATAATAATAAATAATTGTTATTAACGAATATATGATATTACATATAACCTTCTCTATAACAATATAATATTAATTAAAAAAATATCGACACAATAATATTGTATTATTTTCCACATCAATATATCAATATTTTCAATATAAATATCAACATTATCAATATCAATATTTCACTGTATTATTTAAGAGATTGCATTAGTTATATTAGCTGTTTAGGCTTCAGCTGTGTTTCATTATATCAAATAATACAATACCTGCTGCTCTGAATGATTATGATTATGTATGGAATATATATATGGTATAATATATGTATTATTATCATGCATATTTCGTATGTAGGTTATATTATAACATGTTATGACAATATAATACCTTATAATAATAGCTTATAATATAATAGCTGATACTATAATAGCTTATATTATAATATAATAATCATCATCATGGCTAGGCTTCGCAAACGAAGATTAAGGAAGGCTCTATCCACACACATATATATATATATATATATTATATATATATATAATATATATATATATAATATATAATATATAATATATATATAACGATATAATATAATGATGTTGTATATACTATATAGTAAATACTATATATTGTATTATATATTGCAATATAAAATAAATATTAAGATATGATAAATTTTAATATATAAGAAATTATACTGCATAATAAATATTAATATTTAAAAATATATAAAAATATTAATATATAACAATATCGAAATACAATTTTATTTTATTTTTCCATTATTTTATCCAACTATTTCGATGCTATTGAAATATTTAAACTCCCCGTGCCCAGCCAGGCACGGGGGAACCCTCGGGCCGTTACTGTGGGCGGGGCCCCGCCCTCGGCCCCGGCCCCGCCCCCTTCCTGGCAAACTGAGGGCAGCGGCGTCAGTCGCAGCCTCCGTGGCCCCGCCCCCTTCCTGGCAGGATGAGGCAGCGGCGTCAGTCGCAGCCTCTCTGGCCCCGCCCCCTTCCTGGCAAACTGAGGGCAGTGGCTTCGGTCGCAGCCTCCGTGGCCCCGCCCCCTCCCTGGCAGTCTGAGGGCAGCGGCGTCAGTCTCGCCCGGACGCCCCGCGGGCCCCATGGCCGCCGTGTTCCTGGTGACGCTGTACGAGTACTCGCCGCTGTTCTACATCGCCCTGGTCTCCGTCTGCTTCCTCGTCACCAGCGCCGTCGTCCTCGGCTGGTCAGTGCTCGGGGGGACATGGGGTGCGATGGCGCGGGGGCAAGGCCGGGCTGGACGCGGCTTGGAGCGACTTAGTCTAGTGGAAGGTGTCCCTGCCCGTGGCAGGGGGTGGAACTGGATGAGCTTTAAGTCCCTTTAAGCTCTTTCCTTCCTTCAGCAATGCCAAACTCTTCTGAATATTTTTTGTAACATTTTTCACGATATCGGCAAACTCTGTGTTTGTATGTGCTGAACTATGTATGTGTATTGTCCAGGGAAGGGAACGGAGCTGGGGAAGGGTCTGGAACAGCAGGAGCGGCTGAGGGAGCTTGGGGGGCTCGGCCTGGAGACAAGGAGGCTCAGGGGGGACCTTCTGGCTCTGCAACTCCGTGACAGGAGCGGGGAGCCAGGTGGGATGTGCTCCCAGGGAACAAGGGACAGGTTGAGAGGAAACTGCCTCAAGGGGTGCTTCAGGTTGGACATCAGGAGGAATTTCTTCACAGAAAGGGTTGTTAAACATTGGAATGGGCTGCCCAGGGAGGTAGTGGAGTCCCCATCCATGGAGGTGTCCAAGGAACGACAGGATGTAGCACTCAGTGCCAGGGTCTACTTGCCATGGTGGTGTTCAGTCACAGGTTGGACTCGATGATCTCGGAGATCTTTTCCAACCTCCATGATTCTGTGATTCTGTAGCTGATCTGCTGAAGTGTCTCGAGGGGTGGTGAGTGAAGGACCTGCTGCTTGTCCTTGGGAGGATCCAGCAAAGGTGTCACTGTTGCCCTTTTTCAGAAATGTTTCTCAGGTCCCTGAGCGTTCGTGACTCTCAGGAGTGTCTGTAATTGTGAATACAAGTGGAAGGCATTGATTAGCAATCAAAACATTTCATGTAGGAATTATGGATACACCTCAGAATCACAGAGAGAATAAAACTGAGTTATTGAACTTCCCCTCATTAATATCTCATTAATATCTGCAGGGGTGTGCTTCAGTGTTTTCCTCCCTGTTAATTGCAGGTGTTTGAGCTGTAGCTCTTTGTTCTCTTGGCAGCTTCCTGATTGGCTTTTTCTTCCATGCAGAGGCTTTTCCCTTGTTTACAGCACTTTTTTGGCTGCCACTGGCTCACACACATAGCTCTGTTGGTCTCAGGGTGAACAGAGCACATCTTTTGATCTTTCAGATATATTTTGTGAGAAGTTTGATTCTTGTCTGGCAGTTCCTCCCCAAGTGTTGGGTAAGTGGCAGTGAAGGGGACTGGTCTTTTTGGTTTTGTTTCTTTGTCCTGGATGAAGCTCCACCTCATTATTTGCTTGGCGACAGAGGTGGTAGAAATCCTGTTTATAAGTCTCCCTGTCCCACTGCACTGATGGTATTAAGTTGCCATCCAGTTCTCTCCACTTCTTCACTTCATCAGTTCTTTAAAAAAAAAGATACCTTTATCAGCAGTATCATTTTGTTTTAAAGAAATCTTCAGAAAAAGATGAGACTGAGCTGTGATTCAGATAAATCTCCAGCATATCTGTCCCCAAACCAGTGATCCTTTTGTAATTTAATCATTATTTATCTGCTTATAATAACTGCTGGCCATCCCCTGGTGGAAAATGTCTGGCAGTAGGTGTGCCACAAGATCCTTTTGTGTGTGCACGTGTCTGTTATTGCCTTTTGGCTACAGGGTGTTCAAGAGCAGTGTCCAGAGGCATTTTTATTTCAGGATCAGAGATTCCAGGTGCACCTGCACTTGGTGTTATTGCAGTTTATGGAAATACATGCTAATTTTCTTCAGACAGGAGTGTTGAGGGACTGTTAATCGAGGCAAGGAGTAGCCAGGAGCTCAGCACTTGAAAGTGAACGTGTGGGCAGGTGCTCAGAGGTACTGGCTGCTCCCTTTGAGCTCTGCCATTCCAAGGCCATGTCCAGGAGCATCTTCTAAGGAACTTCCCTGTGCCTGGAGCTGCAGTTACAGCTCAAGTGCTCCTGAACTTGCTCACGAAAACAACTCAGCCCTTCATTTGCCACACGGAGCACTGTAAATGCAAATGGTGTCACAGGAGCACAGGACACCTGAGCTATTGCTGGAGTGGCATTTGGTCTCTCCCATATCAGTTTTGGCATGAATTTGCTCTGTAGATGTGTTTGGGGTGGTGTCAGCCAGCCTGAAAAACAGCAGCTGCTCAGGAATGTCCCTGCTCTCGTTTGTAAGCACTGGTTGGAGGAGCGTCTGTTTTTACAGCCAGCCCTGGATACCTGTGGCTCTGCTCAGAGCCCAAGTAGGTTATTACTTCCAGAGCCAGCCCAACAGGTGCCCTGGGCACAGGGATGGAGTGGAATTTAGATCACCTGACTGCCTGTGCACTGTATTTTTAGCTGCAGGTAAATGCTCCTGCTGGGAGGAGCTGAAGGCTCAGCACCTGCTGGGAGTGCAACTATTTGGAGAAATCAACTCATGAACAAACCCACTGGAAACCCCTGCCTTTTCTAAACCAGCACTGCTCTGAAGAAATTAATTTTCCTCTTTAGCAGCTCGTCATATGGATTGTTAGATCATAAAATAAAAGCTGCATCTTTATTCATCCCTCTACACTGAATGCTACCTTAGAATTTACTGCTGAACAGAAGGGCCTCTCTGCCTTCAGCTGCTGCTAAAGCTGTACCAGGTTCTCTTTCCTCTTGCTGCTTTTCATGGGGATTGTCCTGTTGCTTTTGACCAGCCAAGAAAGTTTCCAAAGGACGGGGGTTTTTCCTTAGGAATCAGCCAGATGGTGTAAAACAGGGAGGCATCTGTGTGCACGGCTGGAGAGATGAGCTCTGTCGAGTTTTGGGTACTGAATAAGTGAAGCAGCTGCTGCACCCGGTTCCTCTGGGAGATGTTTCCCTGGGGTATTTCCTTACAGCCCCACTCAAGTCAGGGTGGGTGTTTTACTTGCAGCAGAGAGATTTGACCCTCCATGTGCACAAACCAAGTGTGGCCAAGAGCCCTGTATGACGACACTGGTGAAATGCAAATGTTTCCACCAAAGGAATGGTTTGACACTGAAAGAGAG